TGGGCAACTACATAGAAATCCTTGGGAAGTAATAAAATAATGTGGAAATGACATTCAGATGAATACCTTTCTGAGAGCTTACTCTGGAAGACTCTTCAAAAAATCAAAGTAAAATGTTTGGCTATGACCAGGAAAGCTACTGGCAGTTTCTGCTGTCGTTGTTCAAATACTATTCCTGAAGTCCTTGTCTACTTGAAAAATCTTTAACAATATATCAATCATCCTACTATGCAGCTTATTAATTTAAGCCAATTATTTGAAAGGAAAAGAAGTATGCCAGCAGGAGCACTTCCTTTTCCCCTGTGTAATTTAATTTATGCTATGGCTTTGACAGTCAGAAATTGTATACCTATGTGACACCTCTATGCTCTGAAAAAAAAAGAGTACAGATAAGGTTTAAAATGTTCATAAACCCAGGTTCAACAAATTAAACGTCGTCAGTATCAGACACTGAACATATACTATAGCACTTCCAGAAAAAAAAAAAAAAAAAAAAAAGGTTAGGAAAAAACATGATCTGAGCTTCTGCTAAAGATGGATGTTCTTTCCCCTATGCCTTCCTGCTGGCTCTCAGTAGCCATATAGGAATCTCTTCTTCAAGCTGCTGCCTCTCCTCCCTGTCGCCATTCTCAAGATGCTCCGCATTTGTCTTCCCCGTGCCCCAGAGAAGCACCTCCACCAACACAAGTCACGCTTCTGTCCAGACTGGTTTGCTGCATTTTGGCTTCAGAGAAACCTGACTCAAGGGTACAAGCATCAAACAAAGCTTTTCACAATGTGCAGGGTGCCTGGAACAGGCTGCCAGGCAGGCTTGCACAGGCTCTAGGATGTCAAGAAACATTTTAAAAGCTCCTTGAATCCTTGTTGATCAGACCAGAAGTGGAACTTTCTGATACCATTCCTTCAGGGTTGCTTCTTCATAGTCATTCACCGTAGCAATAGCAGGATTCTCTTCTCATCCATGCCACTTAAAGCTGTGAGGGCTGTGTAGATACCTAGCTCATGCCAGCTATGTTCAACACCTTAGTTAACATCCAGTCTTGTAAAGTCATTCATTGAGATTCTTGTCACATTTTGCCATATAAAATCCACTGAATACGGGTGAACCTCCACCCCACCATGTAATTTAGAAGCAAATTCTCCCAGATGGGACCATTGTCAGAGTTTGTCAGTGTTCTTGCTCAATTAGCTTGTCAGTGAAGCTTGTGAAAGAATAGCCACTTACACAGTCGCAGGAACCCATGGACTCCTGGATGTCACCGCACAACTAATTACAAAGATGTCGTTTTAGATGTAACCTGCTGTAACTGATGCAGCTTGTTAGGCCTCCTTCCATTTTAAACCTGCAATGCCACTTTTGCATTGCATACTGTTTGTATTATGCAGCCATCTAGAGGGCTTTTTGTCTGTAGCGACTCTAGCTATTGCAGTGAAACCACAAAACTACAGCAAAATGTAAGCACTACTGACCCTTAGTGGCCATAGCTCTTCCACAACATTGTGGGAACATTTGCTGAATTCAACAGTGTGGTCTGGTTGTTATGCAGGCACCGTTACAGGTGTTTAGGGAAGGTACTGATTGACCTGCTGATGGCAAAAATGGGAATTACTGTCGACAGGGAAGAGGATTAGGACATCACAGAGGAAAATATACCTGACCTTAAGACTTGCAGCAATTCAGTGATGCAAATATAGTAAGTATCATGTGTTTAGGGGCTAGCATGATTGATGCTGTGACCTGAAGGTGTGAGTCATACATTGGATAAGATAATTGGAAATGAAATTTAGAAGCATCAATCAGAATGATTATAGACCACCATGTGGCCCTGACAAAGACAAATGTGATTTTGGGAGACATGAGGAGATATATTTCTGGTTCAGATAAGGAAAACTTAATGTGCTGTACAAAGCACTCGTGAGACCTCATTTTGGAATATTACAGACAAGTCTATCTCTAAAGAATCAAGCAAGATGAATTTGAACATGCAAAGAAATACTCTTAAGGTGATCAGGGGAGCTGAAATCTTATTTTATAAGAGGAACTTATGCAATATCTAGCAAGATGACATCTAAAAGGATATGAAACATTTCCCACTGTACACACATCAAAGATGTCGACTACAAAGAGGGAAAAGATTTGACATGATGCAAGAACAGACAAATATAGACCGGCCAGCACATTTTAGGCTGGAAAGTAAAAATGATTTTAACAGTAAGTGCTGTGGTGTTCATTAAATATATTTGAAGTACAAAGAGGGGGGTAACTCTTCCTGTTTTGAAAATGCAGATTGAGATGGCTTCTATGTTGTTACTGCCAACAGCTGCATTTCCAAACCCACATGCTTTCCTATTTGGCTTTTCAAGCCTGTTCATTTCTAAAGTTAGCATACGATTACTGCAAAATGAGAAGTCACTCATGTCACTGTGTTACATTGTCTTTCACTCCAGATGGAGTGGAGAGCAGCCCCGCAGAGAGGGACCTCGGCGTCATGGTGGATGACAAGTTGACCATGAGACAGCAGTGTGCCCTGGTGGCCAAGAAGGCCAACGGGATCCTGGGGTGCATTAAGAAGAGCGTCTCCAGCAGGTCAAGGGAAGTGATCTTCCCCCTCTACTCAGCCCTGATGAGGCCACATCTGGAGTACTGCGTCCAGTTCTGGGCTCCCCAGTACAAGAGGGATGTGGAGCTGCTGGAGAGAGTCCAGCGCAGGGCTACAAGGATGATCAGAGGCCTGGAACATCTGCCCTGTGAGCAAAGGCTGAGAGAGCTGGGCCTGTTCAGCCTGGAGAAGAGAAGGCTGAGGGGGGACCTGATCAGCGTGTATAAATACCTCAAGGGAGGCAGTGAGGAAGAGGGACCGGCCTCTTTCCAGTGGTGTCCAGCAATAGAACTAGAGGAAACGGCCACAAGCTGAGGCACCAAAAGTTCCACAGGAACTTAAGGAAACACTTCTTGACAGTGAGGGTGACAGAGCCCTGGAACAGGCTGCCCAGAGAGGTTGTGGAGTCTCCTTCTCTGGAGATCTTCAAAACCCGCTTGAACGCAGCCCTGTGCCACATGCTCTAGGTGACCCTGCGTGAGCAGGGGGGTTGGATTAGATGACCTCTGAGGTCCCTTCCAACCTTGAGCATTCCATGATTCTGTGATTTTATGAGATGGGGGGTGGGGGAGAAAGGAAATGGCTACTGTGAAGGTCTTATTGCAAAATGGTATAACTTTGGTTTTAATACAGTCCTTCATTTCCTCAATTATATAGCCTTCTGTGGAACAACTTTTCAGAGGTAGAAGTATTGAAGAAGATTTCATTGTTTCCAATTTTCCTTTCAGGACTTTACTGTTTTTCACCATTGTGTCTCTGATTTATCATCATGATGATGTCTACATCCCTAGTCCCATATTATCCTAATGGTTTATACTTTAAATATAAGATAATGACTGTAAACAAATATGGGCAGGAGAGTTAAAGAAAGCAATGAGACATCACTCAGCTGCACGATGGCAGTGATTTCTGCATATCTAGTAATTTCTGCATATCTAGTAATATCTAGTAATATCTAGCATATCTAGTAATTGGGGTGGTTTTTTGTTTGTTTGCTTTTTGGTATTTAAGGAATATTTTAAGTAAGGTGTTAGAGAGCTGTGGCTCTGTATATTTGCAGAAATCTCTCCCAAATGTGAAGAGATGGAAGGAGGAAAGATGAAGTATTGCATGTGTGTGACACAGTGGAGTGGCAGTGGAGACCAGTTCCATTGGGACAGCAGAATTCCTGACACCAAATGAGAGACAACACGGAGGACACAAGCACTTTGTGCCCATAACCATGTGCCAGCTGGGAAAGGGAACAAAAGTAGGTGGAAATCATTGGCCATAGAAATGGCCTTTGCAGCAGTGAATCAGGCAGTGTTCTCAAGAGATCCAAGTGGAGCTACCCTGCGTATTCCATACCCAAAGAAAACAATGCTTCATTGACTGAGTTAGGAGAGGACAGGAGGTTTGGCTCTATGAACACTGTCAGAAGTGGTACCCAGGATTGCATTCAAAGGCAAATGGAAAAAAAAAAGCAGGGTTTAACCAGTGATTCCAGATAGAGTCTTCAGTCTCTGACTCAATTCCTGGTTCATCCCACAGAAGGGTAGCAGCAACTAAGCACCATAAAGGAGTTTGCATTTGGTTTTGTTTTATTAGCAAAGTGATGCATGTATAGAAGAGAGGGAAACTTCCATTTAGTGCGAGTATGTAGGGTGTCTGGAAGACATGCCATGGAGGTCAGATGAGCAGAGGCTCTTCAGGAGAAAAGTCAATTTACTATTGAAAGTCAAGGCTGAGGAGGAGGAAACACCATTTTTTTTTATATATATATATACTTTATATATATATAAAGTATATATATATATATATATATAAAGTATATATATATATACTTTATACTATATATATATATAAAAATATATATATATATATTTATATATATATATATARTATATATATARTATATATATARTATATATATATATATATATACTTTATACTATATATATATATATATAAAGTATATATATATATACTTTATATACTTTATATACTTATATACATATATATATATGGTGTGTGTGTATATATATATATATATATATAAATATAAATATAAATATAAATAAATAAACGGCGCCATTCCCTTTATTCCCACCGCCTCTCCCGCGGGAACGCCCGCCCCGCGCCCCGCCTCCTTAACGGCCGCCCCGTGGCTGCCCCTCCCCCACGCCGCCTGCCCCCTTTTCCCGCGCGCCGCCCGGTAACGGCCGCGCGCTTCAAACCGGCGTGCGGAAGGAGCCCGGGAGCCCCTGGCAGGTAAAAGCGGCCCCGCGGGGCGGCTCCTCCTGGCGCCGGAGCGCGGTTCCCGTAGGGGTGCTCGTACCTTGCACCCGGTGAGCGGCGCGGCGCCCGGGGGAGGGCCCGAGCGAGGCAGGGCGGCCCCGGAAAGCGGCTCCTTCCCGGGATGGCTCCGGGTCAAAGCCTGCGTTTGCAGCGCGCCAGAGCCGTTCCGCTCCCGCGTGCGTGTTGGCTGCATCCCGAACTGGAGCAACTCCGGGAATTGTATGAATGAAGTGCGTAAGGGAGGCTCCCTTGCGGGGACGGTAGCTCTGTTGCGCTGCGCCGTAAAGGACGTGCTGAGTTTCCCAGCTCTCAGAAGGGCTCGTGTTGGGTGTCGTTTTTACATCTTTTTGCTGCGTTTTCAACTGCAAACGTGTTTTCGTATAAAGAGAGTGCTGCGATTTCACGTGTGAGTGAAATCCTAATGCCTTATACTGATTAGGTACCACAGAATTGTGAAGGGTTTCTTTGAGCCTGTTCATGTGAGTAGGGTGTGTGTTTTATATATATATATATATGTGTGTGTGTATATATATATATGTGTAATATAGGCTATGTATGATAGACAGCTAAGATGGGTGTCTATACAGATGCATTGTGGTTTTAAACTTTTGCATTATTTATGTTAGCTAGAGCTCATATATAGGTTTTCAATCTACTCTCCTTTCTCTTAAAGGAGTGCGTATTGTGTTATTGTTTTGTGATCAAACTACTAGAATAATATTTATAAACTTTAGTCACTGCCCAAAAGTACGTGACTCTAAGAAAGTACAGACAGTCATAGTATGAAATACTCCAGTGAAGACATGTGAGTGCAAAGTGTGTGTATGTCTTTYTTTTYTCCCCCCCCCCCCCCCCATATTGCATAATCCATCTCCCTATAGCTTTGTTTATTGTTTTAAGTCATTTGGATGTTGAACAACATTGTATCAAGTTTCTTTGTGTTGCTTCCTTTTTTTTTTTTTTAAAGGGATTAACTACAAAGTTGCAAACTCTGATCAGCGGTGGAAAGCTTGAGGACTAATGATGCTGCCAGCTTGGGAAATGAATCTCTACCTGCTTATTGCAGTTGGCTCTCATTTTTATTCCTTCTATGAAGTGTATAAAGTTTCCAAAAGTAAGTCTATAAAGCATTTTAGATTTTTATTTTTGTATGAGTTAACTCGAGTGTGGTTTTCAGGCTACCTATCAAACTAACAAAATACCAGAGGATTCCCAAAAGAGACCTTTGAGATGGAGCATCTAACCATTTTCTTGCTGGAAACTGGGAAAATAAAAGTAAGCAGTAGCAAGGAGCCAGCTCTGTAGGAGGGTTTTATGATGAGACTTATTAAGAGTTCATGTTTACCAAGGGACTCTTTTATTATTTTAATGGTATCATACTCATCTGTCAGAGTGGATGATGGAAACATAGGAAACCCAAATGACACTGTGAAAAGGAACAAAGAGCTACTTTTACTTTTGCAGAACATGTTTTCTTTCAGGAGCAGTAAGGCCCTACTGAGACAAGCTTTAATCTGCATGGTTAAGTTTAAGATTGTGAGTGGCCTTGTAAAATTCAATAGTCTTTCTGTGTGCCAGCAGTGAACATGTGGAGGCAGCGTAAGAACAGAGCCTATGCTTGAAACCAGTGGAGATGAATGGGTCAAGTACATGGCTAGAATTCAGGAATTTCTGACTTCTGGTGCACATCTGACATTTTCCTCTTGTGGCTTTGATGTGTAAGCGGGTCATAGGCCCCCCAGCAGGGCCATAGCTGTATGCTTATGAGGGCTAATCAAGTTATATGGAATTAGTGAAGCATCTTGGACAAGTGCGTGCTCCTTGTGACAGCCATTCAGTCTTGCTCAGAGATGACAGAATAAGCGATAGAGTGGGTTATGTCTTTTTTTATATATGCCTGTAAATTCTTCTGATTTAAGGTTGCTTTTCAGATGAGCATCATTCTTGTGGTTGTGTTGTCTATCTATATACGTATCTACCTATCTATATAGTAAAATGTTCTGTGTCTGGGATGTACTGTCTAGCTAACAGCTAATTCCATAAAGTTTTTCACACCTAAGCTGGTTAAGGGGGATTGCTGTAACCCATTTATTTTAGTACAGTAGGACATGATAGTCTATTGTCGGAAAAAAAAAATCACAAATTTAATTCTGTGCAAACAGAAATTCTAACTTCACTGATTTAATGCAGTGATATTTATGAATTTATAGTTATGTAACAAGTGAGATAAACTTTACAGCCACAAGCTTTGCTCTTCTTAATATGTTAGAAAATCAGTAAAATACTAGAATGGGTTATTGGAATATTTCTGTCTTCTCTTTTCTTGCCTTCCCTGTCCACAGCTCTTTTCTAAGCATTAGACAATCCTATGCCTTTGTTATAAAGGCCAAAGCTTTTGCTAATTTTTCACTAGGAGTATTTTATGCCAAGCTAAGAAAATGCGGAAATAGACCCTTTTTAGTGTGCATAAGAAGTGCCATTGTGTATAAGAAGTTCCACTGAACTGCACAGAGGCTATTTGTTGTGCAGTGATTGTGGCTTCTGAAAGAAGGGCCTTTCTTTCTTTTTTAATCTCTTTTATTCAGGACTGTATTTGTCAATTCAGCAATGTGTATGCCTTACTTTTAAGCACAAGAGAGTTTAGCTGCTGAAGTAAGGCAAATACCAACAAATAAAACCAAAAGCACTCACCTTCTGAATTCAGTATTTTCCATCAGTCTTGCAACCTACCGCCTGCATCATTTTAAAAATAGTCAGTTGAGAAAGATTGTCATCAGATGTTACGTTTTCATTAGATCTGTTATTGATATTTTGATGCAGATAGATAGCTAAATAAATACTGTGTAGTAATTAAAAAAGATTTTATGACTATCTTTTAGTGGTAGTAGAGCAAAACTGTAAAAAGAAAAACAGACAAATATTGCATTTCATAATGAATTTCTCAGCAGATGCTTAAGAACTTGATTTCTGGAATTGTGAGCACCTCTTCTCCTCTATTTACTCAAAGTGGACTTGCATAATCATGTTTTCTTTCATCTGAGGGTTTTACAACACATGACTTTTCCTTAATCTGTAAAATAGAAAAGGATAAGGCAGATTTTTAAAGGATGTACTGGTTACTAAGTCATGTTTACATGTGCAAGCAGCTTAGCAGTCTTCCTATGCTGATGTCAAAGCATCTCCTCCCTTTAATATCACTGTTACCTGAGCTGCTACAGAAATCTAAATTTTGTGGAAAGAGTTTTAATTAATATACTAATCAGTTTTATCTCTGTTTGCTCTTACCTTTTGAATGTTAAATATTCATATGTGATTCTTATGTGATTTTTTTTCTTTTTCTTTTTTTTTTCTTTTTTTTAGGCCTGCAGCAAAAAGCTTTAACTGTTTGAACCAAGTAATTGAACTCCCACCCCGCCAACTAGCCCAAAACTTAACCTTGTGAGGTGAAGGGTCTATTGAGTAGCTTTCTTTTTGAGCTGTTGGAAGTTATTACAAGAGTTCACTTTTAAAATTCAAAATGTTTAATTTGTGGGCAAACTGCTTTGCTTTGCCAGTGCAGCAGGCTTGCTTCTATGGAACTCTGTTTTGAGACTTGATTTGTGATATGAGTGTTGGAAGGATTTATTTATTATTTTCCAAAAGTGGTAGAAGGTACTTAGTCCAATGCAGTCCAGATTTATCATTGCTATGCTAAAATGTCCTTAAGGCTTGGATATCAGGGGAGGGCAACAGGAAAAGTTTTGCTAACATAGCATGGACTGTGGAATTAAGATATTCTCCTGTTAACGTTTAATGAATGTCCATTTTTTTTATACAGTTTATTAGCTCTTTTAAAAGCATGTGAATATTCTTTGATTATTCTCTTTTAGCGACTACACGATTTTTGTTTTCTTGAATATTGACTTATTGAAGATAGTGATCTTCCTTTTTTGAAAGGAAGAAAGGGTGCATTTTGGCACATCCTGATAGTGTAAGCAAGCATGACATTAAGTTATAGACATATCTAGAGCAGCTAGTTAGAGAAATGTGGTGTTCTGTGTTAACTAGAAGCTTTCTAAAAATGCTTATGAGAATGAAATTAAGGATAGGGATGTGCTTCCCCAGAAGCACACTTAATTACTACTTAAATGTGTAATGGGAGGTGCCTGCATGTTGCAGAACATAGTCAGTTTGGAGGGCAGAATATTTGTAGAAAGCTGACTCAAAAGGCCTTATTCTCCTGAAGGCTTTGCCATGCTTGTATTCAAATCTTGTGTCTTGCTGTGTCTTGCTTTCCCCCTAGAGGGAGATATTAAGCAGTCTTAAAACATAGAAATAGTGTTGCTTATATGCTCTACATGTTGAAACGACCCAATTATGTTTTTTCATTGTATATTTTGTACTTGCTATTTTAGATTATAATTCTTAGCATGAAAATCTGTTTTATGGAAAAGGATGACAGCTGGTGAAGATATAATTATTTTTTCTACCTATATTTGAAGTGTCCTGTGTAGACAGCTTATAGCAATTTGGAGGTTAAAACTGAGATACAGATACTTCTCTCATTACTGAGAACATGGAAAGATTTCCTTTGAGTACTTCTACAGTACTGATTAATTTACACAGTGTAGCTTTTCCATTTAATTAAAAATCTAAATTTAGGTTTGTTTTTATGGTTATAATTGGATCCCAGCACAGGATCTGTGTGCCATTATTGGAGGGGGGTGAAAGGAGACAGGGATAGTCTGTTCCCAAGCCAAGAGCTCTGTGTTTAACACCTTAGGCTGCTCATATTGGGAGCATGGCTGGAACAGGAGCTAGAGCGCTCCCACTGGAAGTTCTTTGCAGAAGTGAATCTAACCACAAATTCAAGAGCAGGACCTGATAAACAGGAGAGAGAGAGGACAGTCTAGGAGACCAGTAACCCTGTAAGAATGAAGCAGCTGCTCATGTTGCCTGGCTACTGATGACAGGCAGATGTGTATTTTAACTGTAAGCAGCTCTGTAAGGAATGGATCTATCCAAGCAGCCAAGTAGGTTGTTGTTGGGCTTTTTCTTTTTTTTTCCTCCCTCCCTCTTCCCCCTGGGAGGCTTTATTGAGGTGGGTTGGCAACTGCTTGTTTCAAAGAGCTCTCAGGATAAGAGCTCTCCCTGCAGTGCCATTCAGTTAATTCCATTGATTTAACAATGGAATGATTTAACAAGTAGAAGTCAGCAGGACTGGATCAAATTCTAACCTGGTCTCTGTCTCTGAGCTAAGATTCATCTCTTCTCTGTGAATAAATAATGTCTCCATAAATCATTCTTGTACAACAGGATGCCTCCCAGATTGTGGGAAGTGATTTAAAAACTGCAGTATTACAAGCATTCTCTGTATATGCTAAGCAGGATAAGTTTTCTTTTATTTCCCTGGAATAGCTTGTTTCCAATGTGAAAAGAAGCAGTGGAAGAAGCAACTTTCCACCACAGAATGTTGTTCCAGGTCAACTAGGTGTCCTCAAAAACATCAACAACATCAACTGGAATTTCTTTTACTGTCATAGTTTTTCGGGAAATCTCTACCTGGTTTAGAAACATATTTCATAGATTTCTTCTTCTCATTGCAGTAAATCATTTTTAAATGATGTGTTTCTAATGTTATTTAGAGATGAGTGTGTACAAAACAATAAATATTACACTTCAATGATGCACATATGACTAACCTGGCATTACATCTGCCACTGGCTATGAATGCTTCTCTAGTTAGATTTTTACAGCTCAACTGATGGATGGCAACATACAGAGCTTTACTGACTTGTTTGTGCCTGCTGAATAGTTTGCGTAGGTCCAAAAGTTGGAATTGGTTGGAAAATTGTGCCTGATGATCCAGGTTATTATGCATTAGTTTTACAAAAATTGTGGATGAGCAGAGGTGAAAGCTCAAGAGCTGCAGGGATTTGTTAGAGAAGGTCATCTTATTAACGTCCACTGGATAGGCAGAAACTTTGATTTGTTGGCTATGTGCTTCTAAAATTCTTTCTGCATAGAAATTGCCTCTTTCCAGGTTCTGAGCATCTGTATTTGTGAAACGGGTGTGGAGAATTTGCTACTGTTCAGAAACGGAGTGCCATGGCACTACCTCTTGCTTAGTGATCTGCTATTAATGAAAATGTGTTATTCTTTGCAGAATATGAAGACAAAATTGACAGAGATTTTGGATTGGACCAGGGCATTCTATTTCAGGGACTTAAAAGGGTAAGATTAATGCATGTTACCAACACTTTTAGTTTGTAAATTTAGTGTAAATATCTGTTCTTGACATTCATTAATGTCTTATTTCAGTAATCAGGTATATTAAATGAAGTTCTGCTGGGATATAGAGCTCCTGGAACAAATCACTATATGTTGGGTCTGCTTTTCTGAGATGACTTCTTATAAGCAAACTTAATCTTAGGTGTTTTAATATTTTTCAGATTTTGTTGACAGTTAGATACTTCTCTCCATTTATGTAGCCAGACTTCAGTAGTCTCCTGACTCCAAACTCCATGAGGAACAAGAAACAGCCTCTAAGCATAGGTACTGCGTAGATACATTTTTTTTTTTTTTTTAATATACATCTGTCAAAGCATAGAGAAATTTGTTTCTAATGAGGAAGAAGATTTACCTAACGTATCCAGACCTAAGAATTCTAATGACAGGGGTTTTTCTTTGCTGGTCTGGAGTCTTTCTCAGTGACAAAATCACATATTCTTCATTGCTGCTGTTTGGCTTTCCAGGCACCACATATAACTCTGGCATAACTATTCTTTTTTTTTTTTTTTCTTTTTTCTTTTTCCCTCCCTCTCCTCCCCCTCCACTTCCCTCATCCCTTTTATTCAAGTCACTTGTTTTCTCAGCGATGCTTAATATCAGCAAACACTAGTTTCATTATTGATTGGTCTATGTTTCTGCATGCAAGAGAGCAGACTTGCAGTGCAAATATTTAAAGAAATATGGAATATTTAAAAAAAGCTGACTTATTTAAAAATTGTGTAAATGATATAAGCCATTATTTAGACAAAACTAAAAATGAGTATCTACAGAAATATTTTGGTATTTAAGTCCTTTGTCACCCTCTCTATGGACTCTTTCTGTGTGTTTTGTTCTTTTAGCCTCTGAAATGCTAAAAAGCCTAGGCCTTCAAACAGCCACAAGTCTCTTACCTTTTCCTCCCCTACCCCCAAGTCTTACAACTTTCATTGTGGTTCTGTACAGGAAATGAGGCCACTAACATATCCCTTCTGTGTGATTAATGACACTTGCATGTAACAGGTATTTCAAACTGACCTGATTTCATCTGATCAAACTTATTATGGAAACTTATCATTTAAATGATCCTTCTTTTCAAGGAAGGTGTATTTATTTTCACCAAAACCATCTTTTCCAGGGCAGTTCAGATTTGCTCTTAATTATCTTTAAAAAAAAAAAAAAAAAATTTCAGATATGTGCATGTTCTTATACTCAAAGTATTCCATAAAGGCTTAAAGTGTACAATATGTATAATTCAGCTGAAAATATGATTGTGTGGTGTGACTTGCCTTACAGTAGAATTTGGCACATTATCCTTGCTTTCATAGCATACAGCAAGTAAGCTGCCCTTTAGCAAGGACTATTTTGGCAGAACATTCAGTGGAGGGCATTCAGGCACTGGCAACTGTGCAACCTGTGTCTTCAAAGAAAATGTATTGCAGATGCTTTTAATGAGGAAGGGAAATCTGAGAAGCCATGAGGATGGTGAAAGCCATGCATTGGAAGCCAGTGTTTTGTCTTGCCTTTCTCACCTGAGGCCGAGTTTATTACTTTCCATTTCTTCTGCTTATAGAAATTGACTGCTATCCCATATCCCTTCCCATACTTGCATCAGACAGGGTTTCCTTGGCACTCATGCTGCTTTATTTTCAGTAGGCAATGGTTGAACATCTGTAGCCTTTCTCTGAAACTTTGCCAGAAGTCAACATGAGGAGTACATGGCTCTTGATCTTGCTTCCTACTCAGAATAAGTTTCAGGTTTTTTTTTTTATATTCTCTAAAAATAAGATAGAGTGTCAGTGCAAACAGATAGATATGAATCTGTTGGATTTGAATAGTCAGGGGACAGTAAAATCAGACTAATTTGCTTTGAGTGTCAGTACTAGCTAAAGGGAAAGGGATTAGAAGGATTTATCATATTAGAATTGGATTAGTCTGCAAAGATAGTGTGACTGTGAAGCCAAGCTGACAGTGGTGTGAGGCTTGAGTAGCTCTGCAGTCAGTTTTCATTTTCTTAAATTATTTTTCTGTCTTCAGCTTCGGTGGAAGAATCCATCTAAACAAGAGAGAAGACCAATTCCTTTCCCCTCAGAAATCTTACCTATGAGCTTAAATTTCTCTTCCATCAGTTCAGTGAAACTGAAGTAAACTGTAAATATCTCTGGCTTCTTGAAGTTGCACTATGCAGAGAAGAAAGGTCCCTGAAGGTGCTCGTTTTCCCAGCGCGGAGCAGGCTTTGTGAAGTATCAGTGATTTTTTGATCCCAGTCAAACTGTGGGAAGTAGATTTTTACTTCTTCCCTTCATGTAGTCAGATCTCAGCTCAGCATGCATTGTACAGTCAATTTTCCAATTGATGAAGAGGTGGTATTTTTGACTGCTAAGGCAGTGAGAAAATTCAAACAAAATTAAAACAAGTGGAAAGATTTCTGGCAAGGTCTTCTTCTGCTGGAAAGAATTGGTCTGTTTAAAATGATTGTTCCTCTGAAGAGGAAGTCTCTCTGGATATTCAGTGGAAGCCGAAAGACCAGATGTAGGTTTTCTTTCCGCTGAACTAGCGTGCTCTGAAATGTGAGGAGCTTGCAGGTGGTGTCTCAGAACAGGTGTAGGAGAGTCAGATGGACAGAGATGCTGAGGGGCACTTTGGAGGCATTTGGGTCAAATCTTTTCAGCCCTATGCTAAGATATTAGTGGTCTTAAAGACTGACAGCATTGTTGCAATTTTATTCCAGTTGTATTTTTCTTCTTTGAATTTTTTGATTTTGATTCTGGAGGTAGTTGGGCACTTCTCTTGATATGTGCTTTGTGACAATTTGCAGTGCCTGTTATGATTGCTCTGCTATGGTGTTATCTTTCAATATGACTCCTGTGGCAGTTTGTTACCTATTTGTCAGAAAACTCTTTCTCCCTAATATGTGGAATAGTTTGCATGTAACTATGTAACTTCCTCGCACAGGTAGAGAAGGTGGTGTGTGTGGTTTTTTTTTGTTTTTTTTTTTCCAGATTATTCTTCAGTGAATTTTTGAACATGTAGTTGTTTGCCTGAGCAGAGAGTAGAACATAGATTTTGTAGTTAGGCCGTGTTCCATGTTTCCAAGCATTAACTTTGTTTTTCTTTCAAAAACAAGTTATTTTATTGTGATTAATCTGAGACCTCAGGCTAGGAGCAAGGTAATATATGTAGTTTGGGAAAGTTTTGGCAATGAATGTAAAACTTCCATTAGTTTATTTTTAAGAAGTTAAATTGCCTAAGTGCTGAAAGAGTGTCAGGATAACTGACTTGAATTTAGGTAATGCTGCACATTGATCTCTAAGTAATTGAAGTGCATAGCTGGGAGTAATTTATGTGCAGTTGCAATTTCTTGTTTTCCCTTTTTCTCTTAAAACAAACAAACAAAAAACTCACTATTTTTTCCCTCGATCCAGCTCTTTGACTAATGAGCTTGTTGAGGGTGGAACAGGACTGGAGTGCACATGCTTACATAAAGGGTCTGCCTGAAGCCGGTTTGGCCCAACTCATGGCCCTGCTGCTCAGCTGCTGTCAGCATGAATCCGAGTGACCCTGGTTCAGAATACATGCAGTTCCTAGAGGCCTCCTAAAGAAAGTTTTTGACTGAACAAAAACAAGCAGGTTTGAATGGGAAGCATTTAGAGGTGGGAATCTTATTCCATCTCTGTGTTCACTAGTTTGTTTTCCACTGTAGGAGAATGTGTGTGCCTGTGCACGTGTGTCTACCTCTGTGCCTTCCGATTTGAACATTTTTGCAGTATTGATCAACTTGCCAGGCTGACCTGACAGAAGTCTTTCTTTAAGCTTATGCAATGTGCTTCTAAATTCATAGAAATTCATAGAATTCACAGAAATAAGAATATTTCTATGATTTTTAAATAATTAGAAGACAAAATGGAGATATATTATTTTATTAAGACATTTCATTGTCTTTTAAGAATATCTTTTTATGATTATGATTCATATCTTCTAATTAACTTTGCACTAGGATTCCCTGGATTTTGAGTGGAGTTACTGGATAGACTGGGGAAGGGAACATATCCTGTGGCTTCTGGTTGGTCATCTACTGGTATCACAAATGTCCCGACTCTTTCTGGAAAAGGTACATATACATTTATTTTGCAGCTGTGAGTTTTGTTTTAATTAACTGTAGGAATTGAAACTCGGGCATTTAGACTGCAGGCTGATAAAACCCAAGTCCTGTAGAATACATTATTTGAATAGATTTGTAGTGATAATGCAAAGCAAAGAGACTGGTTGCATTAGGTCTACAATTGGACACTTTAAATTTGAAAAAAATGCTTTGCCGTGATATACTAAAAATATTATTCTTTCAAGAATTTGAAATGGTTTCTTTAAAACATGCCTATGCAATTCATGACAAAGTAGCATTTCTTTGCCTAGAAACACTGAAGAAAATTTTCCTTTAAGTTGTGTGGCTCTTTTCTCTGCATGTACTATCAATATAAGGTAGGTAATTAAAGTGTTTTGGGTTGGGGGGCTCTGGTTATGTGTAGAGAGCCACGTACACTGAGATTTTCAGTCTAGTGCAAGTGCCCTGTTTCTGACTAATTGCTGAAGACTTTTTTGCTGACCTGTGTTATCTGAATAGCACAGTATTTGGTTGTGCAGTTGGTCAGGCACCTCTGCCTATTTAAAAAGATTGCCTGATATATGACGCTGGACACTGTTCCAGGTGTTTAATTCCACCATTTAAGTTTAAAACATGTGGCATTTCCTGTCAGAAATCATCTTCTGGGTTTATAGTACAAAGAGAGAGAGCTAAGTGAAGTTATATGGAACTTTAATCTGAGATTTGTTCATTTTACATTCATATGCAACAGAATAAATGTTTTTAGTAGTGGTGGTAGTTGCTGGCTGCTTTCATTTGCTGACCAGTTCTATTTCTCAAATCCATTCTTAAGTTTTAGGATGCCACCCCATTAAAAGCATACTAAAAATTTATTCTTTGACATTAGTGTGGTGGTTTGATGCCAGTTTCTATATTTTCAGTAAAGAATTAAAAATCCATAAATACAATAACTCAGTTGAAATGGAGATATGACTGTGAGGAGTTACAGCTCATGGGACATGTACTGGAGGTCCCTGAGGAGATTTCTTAACAGTAGTATACGTAATATCATTATGTTTACTTCTGTTGCTAGCTTGATTTTAGCATTTCATTTTTTTTTTTGTTTTATGCATGGAAAGCAGAATTAAAAGCGCTATTTCTTGTAGATTAAAAAGAAGAAAAGTCATAAATCATTGTGATCAGCTTTGAAAAGGACGAGTAAAATGCGAGAGAGAGAGAGCGCGCTCGCACGTGCGCAGTAATTTTTTATCAAGACAGAACAGGCCTCAAGTTTTGTGACGGCAAAATGGGCTGTAGCTCATCCCTTACCCTATACGGCTCAGAGTATTTCAGAGGATACTGAAAAGTTTCAACATCTTTAGCGGCTACTAATGTTCCAGAACAAGTATCCTCTTGTGTCTTGCTGGAAATCCGTTTTGTCTGTGTCATGGCATTGGCAATCTTCTGTAGTATACTTGTATGCAACCTTTTTCCTCATACAAACAGCTTTCCGAAGAACCTGTGTTGAGGCTTTCTGCTGGCTCTTGGAAGCATCACCCACATTTTAGGGCTAACTTTATCTCTAGAGTCTGGTGGCTGGAACAGTAGCTGTTCCTAATATGGGAAATAATCACATAAGCCTGTGAAGTCCCTTGTGGCTTTTTTTGAGTAGATTGTTATCTACCAAATAAATCCCAAAGCTTTTGTGACTGTAGCATTGCAAGCTGACGTTTGGCTCTTGGTAGCTCATAAGCAGCTTAAGGCTGGCTTTCAGGCCTCTTTTTGGTACAGAAACAGTTTAAGAGTAAGAGCTGTTTAATTTAAGCATCCTCAGTGTTTGGCTCTGCATGGAAATGAGAGCGGTTTTTGCATGGGTACGTGGGGGCTTCAGTATCTTCAGACCTCATGGCTGTACTAGGGTCCAGCTACATCTCCAGCCCAACTCAGCCTTCCAGTAGAATAGGTTATTGGGGCAGCTTTCATTTCCACTTATCAACCGGTTTGCTGCCTTTGCTTTAGCTAGTCAGCATGTTATTTGTGCCTTGCTCTTTTTGGAGTACTGGGGTGTGTATCTTGTCGAGTCGAGAGTTCTTAGTAGTGTCGTTTATACAGAATGAGGGAAAACTGGATGTGCCCTGTAAGAACACTGAAACTTAATCAGTTTTATATGGTCAAGTGAAAGAGGCCTCTGTATGAATTGTGTGGAAATGCTTTCTGTAGAAAGCCTTGAATTAATTGAGGCACAAACATATAAGCTACAAGTAACTTTTTCATCTCCATTCAGTGCTGTCCTCTTGTTGATATGCGTGAGGGGGCGTAAGGCAATACGACTGTGATCTTGAGGAGCTGTCTTCCACTTTTCCTGTGAAGCCACACACTAATGCACAGGAAAGACCATTATGGTTAGATGTCCTGCCCTGTCAGAAACAGAGGCAAGTTGATAAGGAGTGCTGGAAAAGACACCTTATTCAAGTTAAATACTGTGTAACGACTGATAATATCTGAGCCAAACTGATAGTGATTCAATTTTGTGGTGTCCTCTGAAAGGCTGTCACAAAAATAAACTTTCCTAGTTCAGAGAATGAAAGGAGGAATTGGAATTCTCACTGAAGAGCTTCAGGGAGTCTGTATGATTCACCCCTAGTGGTGAGGTCATTAAGAGATAGCAGCAGTGATTTCTTTAGGGGTAGAGTTATCTCTTTGTGTAATTTCCTGGCCGAATTTACTTATGTGTCTTTTTGTTTCCTGTAAGGCATATATATAACAGTCTGATTCTTAAGTGTGTGAGGGTTTTTAATGTTTGAAATAGTTGAAGTAATAGTTGGTAATTCTTTCTTCTTTACTTGCAGTATAAACCTTGGTGCCTGATGGTATACGGAATGGTGGCTTGCTGGTTTCTCTTGGGAATCAAGGGCTTGGCAGTGATTTTCCTACACGCAGTTACTTCATTTGCTGTGGCTCAATTTAAGATGCCAGTTCTGACATGGATCTGCTCTCTTACCCTGTTATCCACTTTACGCATACCAGCTGTAGAAGAAGCAAAGGTAAATTGAGTAGTCTGAATTATGTGTAGAAATTGTTTATGGTATTTTTTGACATTACTGGACTTATCTTTTTGCAAAACTATTGCTTCAGTTGAGCAGAGGTTGGCTTAGAAAGTCTTTGAGTGTTTAACTACTGTGAGCCCTGCCCTGAGAGATTCTAAAAGCAGAGGTATAGATTGTTAATCAGCTTGGTGAGCCCTCCCTCTAGTGGTCTCTGCCCTGTGGAGTCAAATGTATCTCAAAGTTAAGGATTGAGATACAGCTTGCTAAAATACTGTGTAAGGAGAATTGTAGTGCTTTTTACCTGCAGAGACACGTTGTTGAGGTAACAGAGAAGACAGAGGGCAACCATTTAGCTGCTTTTGTAGTCTTTAGATAACTGATGACATGATTAGAGGAAAGTTGCAGTACACGCTAGCCTGCTGAATCTTCTCTAACAGCCTTGACTACCTTAAATTAAAGCTACTGTTTGTAGCTCTAATTGCATTTGTTATTGCCTTGTTCTATTTTGATACAGTTTATCCTGCAAGATTTTAAAATGACAAATGACTTGTTCATTAGTGAATTGGATGACTGAGAAATATCTACACCAGTCACTTCTTTTTGCATTAAAACTTCTTCCATGTCCCCCCACAGAAAGTTAGGAAAAGTGAAAAGCAGGGAAAAGAGTAGGTTGCAAGGAATAACTGTAGGGAAAATTCAGCTGTTTCTTCTCAGTTTGCCCTGAGGCAACATGGCTAATCCCTTCTCTTATTTTGTCCATTTAAAACTGGACTGTAATATATTCCGCATTTGAAGAAGAAAAGAAAAAGTCACCTGAGAAGCCCAAAGACAGATATATATATATATATATGTGTGTGTGTGTGTATATATAATCTGTAATATACATAGTTTATTTGTTTTTCATATTTTGGTTTGAATATGAACATACAGCTATCTCCTTGCTTTTGCTGTTTGGGTATGCAAGAAGCATTTAAAACTATTTGAAAAAAATGTATTTCAGTATGACAGCATTTAATTGTAATTCACGAGGAGCAGTGGACATTACTCTCAATCCCACTGATCAGTGCCTTGTGATGAAACTACCTGCCTTAGTGTTTAAATGTCATCCCATGGAGACAGGGTGTGTTAAACAGTTTGCTAATGCTGTAGTAAATGCCTTTCTACTTCATTAGAGATGTAATCATACCAATTTAAAGTGTTCCATTTTTGGATTCATATCCAGAAGTTGCTTACTCAAGCCTGACAGTGCTTTGTTTGTGAGTGCAGCTTACTGCATGAAGATGAAGACTTCTTCTAACATTTTGATTTATACCAAACAAATTATTCACTTGCAGCTGATTTGTGTAAAA